CAACCCTCAGGCTTCCAATATGTTTTCTGATTTGGTCAAATAATTTTTTGATTTTTTTTTAACTTTTTATTGGTACCGGGGATCGAACTCACAACCGCCTGCTTGCAAGGCAGGTGCTTATGCCGCTGAGCTAAATCCCCAGCCCCAATTTTTTGATATGTTTAAAAATTATGCAAGTGAGTACTAATAAAAGAAAAAAATGAAACACGAAAGATGCGGTGCACACAAAGTGCATAGGTCAGCATGTGATGGGTAGAGAAGTGGGAAGAAGGAGAGAGATTATTTTGCATCTTCTAAATCTTACTTGGAAACTTAGAAGACAATTAGGAAGGATGAGAGAGAAAGCAACGTTATATTTACACCACTGCAGCTGATTGCTATGGACTCAGAAGTTCATAAGGATGATATATTTTCTGTGGGTTTTTTTTTTTAGACATAAGCAGTCTCACTGTGCAGTTCAGGCTGACCTTGAGCTCACTTTGTAGCGTAGGCTGGTCTTGAGCTTGCGATGATCCTCCTGCCTCAACCTCCTGAGTGCTGGGGTTACAGGCGTGTGCCAACACTTCTGGCTATTTTCTGTTCTAAGGCTAGAGTGGAATTGGTCACCTATGGGAGCAGGTGACCATGACAGTGAACAAAGTAGCTGTCAGTTCCACAGAAATACATCAAGATCCTTGGATTTTAGTCTTAATATCAGATGCTTCAGGATATTAGGATAAATAGATACTTGATCAGACCAATAAATGAAGCTTTACGCAACAAACACTGAATCCAGGCTAAATAATGTAGACATGGGCCTGAGAAAATGGCAAAGAAATTCTAAATATTTTTTAGAAAATATCTGTGATTCGATTGTGGCAAACTGCTTTAGTATTGTTCTTTGGCTGCCAAGTGTAGCTGATAAAGAAAGTACTAACCTTAAGATTAGAGCCCTATCACCTGGAGAAGACTGGAATCCTTTTGAACTTGGAAAGGCAGTCTGCAAAGCTGTTAAGGCTGGGGGCTGGGGTTGAAAAAGACAAAAAAAAAAAAAAAAATTAAAAAAAAAAAAAAAAAAAAAGCTGTTAAGGCTGAAGCTTGCTCTCTGCTCGGCAGTTCCAAAGCCTTCTCCAGTCTCAGAAGTTCTTATAACTCTATTTGGTGGGTAGCATTTGTGTTTCTGGGGAAGGCTTTTTTTTTTCTAAATTGAAGGCTTTTGCCAAAAATAAGTATCATATTTATATAACTCAAATACAACAATATTAAAAGGTGTACACTGTCAAGTCTTTCTCTTCCTTTACCCCTAGTACTGCCACCAATTAGTAGAACTAATGCGTTCCTTTGTAGAGCCTTTAGGCAAATCTAAGCACATTTATTATTTTTCTTCTCAATCTTTTTTCTTACGTAAAATGCAGCCTTCTGTATATGCTGCTCTGTTATTGTTTTGTGTGTGATCTAGTGCTGTGTCCTTCAAGTCTTCCTCGTCAGTCTAGAGGCTTTGACCTGCTTCCCGCTTGTTTAGTGTTAGAATATTCCACTAGGCAGACGCACTGTTGTTTACTTAGGCACTCTCTACCAATGGACATCTTACCTATGTTGTAATCAAAATCTGAAATGTACCAATGAATTTCATTAATTAAAAAATCTAGGGGCTGGGGATTTAGCTCAGCAGCATAAGCACCTGCCTTACAAGCAGGCAGTCGTGAGTTTGATCCCCGGTACCGATAAAAAAGAAAAAGCCAAAAAAAAAAAAAAAAAAAAAAAAAAATCTGCTGCCCACCTAAACTTTTGCATGCAAACATGCAGGGCTCTTATTTGGAGAGAGTAAATTACCATGGTATGCAGACTGAAGACTTAATGCAGGCAATTCTTTGCAACTTTTGCTTCTAGAAAGTCTGTGCTAATAGGTTAAACGCTGACAGTAGAGACTTTGGGATGAAAACTTGCACCGTGGAAGATGTGGCTGAGCATCAATGAAACAAAGGCACATTCCTCTGTGTTTTGGATAAGAATATGATCCTATCAGGGAAAAAATTTAAAGTGCACAATGATGCCACTAGAAAAATCAGTCTCCTTTTATTACTGTGGCACATGGTGGCACAGAGTGACTTCCGGGAGAAGAGTCCAATTGTGTGGACTGGCACCTCAGCATTCTTCTGGAGCCTCAGAGTCATAGACCCTGACTTACAGAAAATCAGTGTAAAGAGAATCGATCACTTGACAAATATTACTTTACTTGTGAGGTGTGAAGGTCTCAGTCAGGAGCTCTGGAAACACCGCTCCCAATCACGGTGCCACTGGTCACTTTAAAGAAGGTAGTGCAGTCACAGCCATTGGTGTGGACACGCTCAGAGTGTGTGAGTGTCTTCCCTGGCTGGTGCACCAGTTGTAGCTTCTGTTTTCTAGTTTATCCCTGCCACACAACTCCCCAAGACCAGTTCTCTTTATGTGGAGGGGAGGAGGGGTGAGGGAAACTGATAGGGAATCTCCACTATGGCTTTGGAGGCCCTAAGCACGCCTGTGCAGTGTGGAATCACCCCATTGGTGGCTCCTGTTTCCTTCCTTTCCGTCAGGGGCTGGCGCTGACCTAGTGAGGCATCACTCCATTTGCTTGAGAGAGAACAAGCATGCCGATAGGGAGGAGCTTATTAGGGCTAGAGGTTCTTCCTGGAGTCTGACGCAGGGTGAGAAACTGAACTTTGCCTTCCTCTTTCATTGCTGGGTCTTGCTTAGAAGATGGTACACAGGATTAGCGAGCAAAATAGCAAAGCTTCCCATTTTGCCAAATGAAAATTCACATGCTCTGCCCTGAACACTTCCCTTTTGTTAATTTCAATGGCTGTATGTAATCTAGACTCGAACACTACTGGAATAAAGTAGTAACTGCACATGGTTTGAGCGTTGGGGCTCAGAGTGCAATCGGTGGAGATCATCAGGGGTGGTCCACACCTGCATTTGGCTCCACTAGACCTTCCGGTCATAAACCTTTCAGAAAACCTCCTTTATTCCTGGGTCCTGCTGGGCCCCATTAAAGACTGCGAAAGATTAGTCCTGCAGTGCTGCACAAGGTTTCTCAGCATCCTCCGTATAAACTCTTGGGGTGTCACCTGCTGCCCATGCCATTTTATTGAAATGCTACCCCAACTCTCCCTCAAGAGCCCACGTCCTTGTCACTATCTTCCTCTTCTCTGAACCCTATAAAGCCTTTAGCACTGCTAACCATGTCCTTTCTGTCCTTGCTGCTGTTGTAGGATTTTCTCTCTTGCCTTGGCTTTGGTTTTTTGTCCGACCTCTTACTTTTGATCTCTTCCCTGGATATTTTCTCCTCTCTGCGTTGTCTCTCTTCCACATTCTCTTCTAAGCCACCTCTTCTGTCCCCCACTCCTTTCCCCTCGACAAGCTCCCCCCGAGCTAGGCACTGTTACCTCTCTCTCACTTTGCCTTCAGCATTAACTGATACTCTATTTCAGCATTCCAGTGGGTATTAATCAAACTCAGCGTGCTGACGCCTGAGTTAGTCATGTTCCTCAGGCAGTAGTGACCTCTCGATTTGCAGTTTGCTGCGTGTTACTAGGGTCCTGATCACTTAAGCTCAGAACTGTAAGCTTTATTAACTCCTTGTCTGTTCTCATTTCTCCTATAATTTAATTATGTGCTGAACTCTGACAATTACACCTCTACTAAGCCTTTCAAACGATCTCTTAAACCCAAGGTAACTATAGCCTCAGACCTCCAGCCAACTCTCCCCATCTTGAGGCTCGCTCTTTTCCCACCACAAGCTTACACTTTGTCCCAAAGTTGGGGTCCGCAGTCTCTCACTTTCTCCTCTCTGCCCCTTTGTATGTAGTGTTATTTTCTTATAAAAGGCTCTCGTAACTATAGAGCCTGATGACAAATGAAAATGTGAGGGTCCTTGTTGGAAAAGCAGGAAAAAGCCACCTATTCTTAAAATTACTGAAGCACCAAGTGTCCATGCTGGTCCACTGCTCCCACGTATTCCAGAGCAGGCTAGCACGGTTCACTCACAGCACCTCAGAGCTTCTTTCTATCTTCTGCATGTTGCAGCTTTCCCCAGAGCAAGGGCTACATCTTCATTCATTCCTGGAACCCACTGCATAAGTCCTATACAATTACTGAACAGCAAAGACTGCCAACAGCACTGTTACTGGATGCCGTCTCCCTAAGCCATATTTCTTTTTCCAGAGCAAGACTCACTGTTCATGCAGGAGTCCATGTTCTCCAGCAGGTGAGCTCGGCCTTCTTGCTTTCCTTTTCAGTGCCTGAACTAATCTTTGTAGTGATTTTTAAAGGACCTCCCCTTCAGAAATTAAAATTGAGTTTAGTTATGGACTCTTACCGTCTTTTAATGTATCTGAATCTACTCATGTGCTCAAATAGTTAGATGAGAAGTCTATGTTTTCAAACATTTTGGTTAGAAATAACTCTTGATGAGAAAAGAAATGCTTCTGAAATACATTTTGCCTATTTTGCTTAGAACAATCCTTCATTTCATGGTATCACTTTTTTTATAATGACTTCTGGAAAACTCTGTGTGATCTGGTAGTCAGAGCTCTTCATAGAGCTGCTTTGAGAAAGAAGTTGAACAACTTGGTCACAGGGAGATAGAACTTTTGCAACAGGGAAGGAGATTAAGAGATGGAGGCAGGGCGAAGAAAAGAGAGGAGAGAAGATATAAAAAGAATTAAGATGTGTTATGTATGTGGACCAACTCAGTGCACTGAACATAATCATTCTGCACTGCACATCAATAGTAATAATAGTAATAGTGAATTTAAACATCCTACACTGGCTGAAGACAACATCACCCTAAGGACTGGTATTCAGTTTGCGTCCCTCCCACACTCACCTACATGTCCACCTTTCCATATACTTGGAGTTGAAAATGGCAAAACCCATTTGTGCTTAGGGGCGAGTTGCTTTAAAAAAAAAAAAAAACACAGTCAGGTGGAATCTGTTTAACAGCAAAATGTGAGTTTAAAAAATGCACCACAGACACTGCATCACTAGGAAAGCCAGTAACTTTACTGAATTGTCTGCAAAATACAAATTATACCTTATTTCCAGCAGGAGAAACTTTTGAAAATTTCCCACTTTAATTCACTACAGACAGCTGAATTAAGTCCCTTGAGATACACAGATGTGGTTTAAGTTAGTTATAACATCGTGTCATCTAGTGGCGGCAAAGTCCCGCTTATGCCGCTGTGAGCCTCTATTTGAGTATTTGTTGCAAATGCTTGTATGCCCTCATTTACAAGCTATTTTAATGACTGTCATTGAATGGAAACGCGTCCCCAGGAAAAGAAGAAAAGAAGAAGAAAAATGATACAGCAAACCATTGGAAGCAATGCAAGTCCTACGCCTACAGTGACCCCGGTCCACTTGCTCCCAGAGTGCACTGATGCTGCATTCAAACCACAACAGCCTCTGCCGCATAGCTGACCTCTCTGAATGAAACTGAGGTATGAATCAATTTGAGGTAAGAACAGGGAAGGCAAAATGCAATACCCGATTATGAAAGGAACCAAAATGGACAAATTGAATGGAGAAGATATGTGGCTTGGATTGCTCCACATCTTTGGTTAAAACATATTAAGAAAAGCCTTTCATTACATGTGCAGTCTGAAGCATTCGAACAGACACTAGTATTCCAGCAATCTTCAAAAGATCTGTAGTGGCAGGAAATTAACGCCACACAAGTGACGACACCCTGGCAGATGGCAGAGAGGAGAACAGATGAAGCATGCCATGCTTAGGCAACTGCCTTTATTGAGGGTTCAAGTGGCTTCTTTAACAAAAAAAAAAAAAAAAAAAAAAACCAAAAAAAAAAACCCAAAAAAAACAAAAAACAAAAAAAAATTAAAGAAAGGAATACAAGGCATTGACTCTCTGGAAAAGCAAACAAAAGGGAGAAAGGGGTCAAAACACTGCTATCTCAAAGATAAAAGCTGGGCATGGAAGGAAAACAAATACCTAAGCAAGTGAGAGGGCAGACATTCTTTTAACAAGTAAACTGGGTGGGGGGGGGTGTCAGGGATTTAGCTCAGCGGCATAAGCGCCTGCTTGGCAAGCACGAGGTCGTGAGTTCGACCCCAGGTACCAAAACTAAACAAAGCAAAAAGAACAAGAAGCGAATTAGGATTAAAAAGAAATCCTCACTTTAGTTAACTTTTATATAATCTAAGGATGACAGGTGTTTTCATATTCATCATTACAAAATGTTAAATTCCACCTCTGGGGAAAAAAATAAGCCTTTTACTAAAAAACACAGCTTTTAAAAAGGTCGCAATGAACAGCCTCCACACACCAATGCACACAACATACAGGTCGTGCAGCCCGAGTATACTGCAGCACTGTCACCAGTGTTTACGCTTCACTGTTACCCCAAATCTTTGACAGTAGGATTAGCTATAACACCACCTGTCGCTGTGTCAAATGCCACTTGTGTTTCTTTGACTCCCAGGGAAGAATCCTGTCTAAAGCGTGGCTCTAGGGTGGGCAACATAAAATCATATACTCCCTCAGGGCTCTGCCCTAACCTCTTGGATACAAAAGATTTACTGCGATAGAAACCATACTAGCTTTGCAAGTACAACAAACGGTCCATTACAGAAAAGGCATAAGGGTAAAGAGACACGACAGTGACTGTTTACAGTAATGAGTCATCGTAACAAAAATTGTGCTTCTCATTCAATCATCTCTAAGAAATCTCAGATTATCTCTTCACTATCTGGCCACCACTTGTGTGACTTCAGTAGCGGGACAAGAGAGGACTGATATCCTTTTTCCAGGTGGCTCTATTCTTTTGGAGTTGTTCTTAGACAACTCTTGTCAGAACTGCTATAAATAGCCAAGGCTTCTGCTGGTACTTTAGCTCACTTTATCTTCAGCGACAGAAATTTCGTGTTTTCTTTGTCACTGAGGCAAAATTGCAGGTAAAAAGTTAATATGGCTATTTCTTCATATTTTCACTTAATGACCCTTTCCCACCCACGGGTAAGATTTTACTGATACTGGAAAATGAAAATGTTTTGAAGATGGTGAGGAACATTTATGATATGCTTGCATATTTAATACACATCAAGTTATAAAGATGAGTTGTGAGCATGGGATCAAGTCCGTGGTGAGGAAAATGATTTTATTTTTTCCCCTCTGTGTGTGTAAGAGAAAGAGAGAGAGAGAGAGAGAGAGAGAGAGAGAGAGAGAGAGAGAGAAAGAGAGAGAGAGATGTAGACAGAGAGAAAGTTATGTGTATTTGTGTATTTTTTAGGGATGACTTTCTGGTTTTCCTCTGCATAAATGTTATTCTTTCATGTTCCATGGATACCTTTAGTAGTGGGATATATATGAAGTGATTGATTTTTAAAAAAACTTTTTAGTATATAAAACATTAGTACAAGGCAGGCTAGCATCCTATCTGGATACAACCTAAGGTTCACTGTGGTCTAATTATGGATTGCAGATCAAGTTAAGAAAAATATAGCGTCGTTAATAAGGTCTCTTGGCTTCTGCCACCCAGCGGCAGCCTCTTACAATGAGGAACACATAGCAACTATGCAAGTAAAAGGAAAAAAAAGTAAATGGACAAGAAATGTCCTCCACATGATGTAGCCGTGCTGCTGTTCCTGTCTATGTCTTCCTTGCTGTGTATGTCAGCGTGTGTGATTGGAGATGAATGGACAGATCTTCACATCCCAAGAGAAGGAAATCATTCTTAGACTGAAACATCTTCTAAACAATATATAGATTGACTTTTTATGGCACTCACTTTTAAAGGGTCTGAAAATTAATCCCTTATAGACAGATATTAGACAACAGTCATATTTCCTTGAAAAATTTTAAAAAAGGGACATAGAGAGGTTCTTTAATGGGATTTCTCAAAATGGCTATTAAATCTCTTTATTGAAGAAAAATAGATGACATACATGCTTTATGCAGAAGTGACAATGGGGGTCCTGACACACTGGGATTGTTCAACAGTCCTATATGGCTGACAAGGTTGTGAAGGGCCCGTTAGAATGACCAAAATTAGATGACAAAGCAACTATCCCTTTATCTGCTTCCTTTCTTGTCTAGCACCCAGGATTTCACAATTTCCTTCTGTGGGAATTTATAACTCATTCACCAAGTAGACTCCATGTCACTTGTTTCGAGGGTCTCATCCATGACATGTGCCCCGCACAGCTTTTCTATTCTTGGCATATTTCTAAGAAACATATCAAATCCTAGGCTGAAACTCAACCGTGTAATTTAGGATATGGGGCAAGGTAGGATCCGCACTTACTGAATTCCAAGATGCATGGTGATATGGTACGATCAGAAAGGGGCCCTGCATTTGATAAAAATGCACAAAACAAAACAAAAACAGCATGAAGGAAACTAAGTAGTATATACAATGGATGTCAGTTGGCCAAATACATTGCTAATGTATCAGGAACAATTTAGGGTGCTGCAGAGTGATATGTCCTAACCCCACAGGTTAATCCTTTTGACAGCTGACCTTGAACTTATAAAACGTATGCAGAGTAAAAGAAATCAGAAAGAAAATAGTTACTCGAATGTGCAACTGCACAAATATAACCCCCCTCCCACTATTAAGATAACAAAACTTCTGCTATTACCATAATATTATATATATTAGAAAGCTATACACAAGCATGTTAATTTCACAGATTTTTTTAAAAGATTCTTAATATTTTATATAATTAGAAATACACATTTCAAAAACAAAACTTCTACAAAGAGAAAACAGTTATCTTGGTTAGCAAAGCATGGAGTTCTTCATGGCTTAGGGTAGTGCTCTCTATACAAAAAGTCCTTTTTGGTTTTTTACAGGACTGTTTAAAATATTAGCGAAGCTATCGAGGGGGAGAAACACATTTTGGCTTAAGTAAACTACAAAAAGCCACAAATGCTTTGCAAACTCTGTCTTACCTTTTATATGAAAATAAGCAAAATGTAATGTACATATTTTTATATTTTTATTTAATAAGAGATGCAGACCCAGATTTATTTATTTAATTAAATACGTTAGCTCTCAAACTCCACTTTTTTGTTTTTTGTTTTCTGTTTTTCCTTGTTTTTTTTTTTTTGTTTTTTAATTTTTTTTAAATAGGTATGGTCCTCTTTTCATGGTCTTTGATCCTTTTTAATGAGTGCCATACGCCAATGATTTGCCTGCAGGTTTGTGAGCGCACTTCCCGATGTTAGGGGACAGCTGTGTCCCTAACATTTACCAATGGCCACCCACTGGTGGGTCTGTCCAGACTTCTATACATTTTTTTTTCCTCTATATGTTGCATAACAGCTGCTCTCTCTTTCAGTAAAGATCTGCCGCTTTTGGCAAATGTTTCCTTTTGTCTATTTACATGTAAATAACGTTGAACCTGCAACATGACACTATCTATTGTAACATACATTTTGCAAAGCAGCACAACAGTGAAAAGAAGTTAGCCTTAAAATCTATTTTGTACAAGTGTTCTGTTGTACAACTCAAGTGCTAAGCTTATCTCAGCATTTCTGTTTATCTTTATACTGTATCACTGAGGCAATTTAAAAGTACTTTTACAAAACAGAGTACCTGACTTTTTTTGTTTTCCACACACGGCACATAGAATGCATATCGACCCCCCTTCCCCATTAAGGTATAGCACACACACACACTGCAAGAAAAAAAAAAAAAAAAACCATTAAGTAATCATGTGATCATGTTGCCCATCCTTCAGAGAGTCGCATGCGCTTGACTGAGGGACTTTCCCTTTCGTCCGGCGAAGGTCTGGTGAGTCCAATGGGGGAGTGGAATTCGTTCCGGTGATCCTCTCGGTCGCTCCCGTCGTAGGAACTACTGCAGCTGCTCAAGCTATCAACAGGAGACCTCCCCGCCTCGTGGCGCGTGTGTGGTGGGTATCTCGAAGGGGTGGTGGTACGGTCTCTAGGAGGAGAAACAGGTTCTGACTTGATGTTGAGGCTTTGAGTAGAAGGCAGGGAGAGATTTGAACTCTGAGATAAATGAGTGCTAGTGCAAGCTCTGTAGGAGGAAAGGAAACCCAGTTACAGATGGAGGAGGCCAGGAGGCCCCAGGCACTCACAATTACATAACACATCAGCCTACAGACTCCCACAGACACCAGAGCATGCCAGAGCGGGCACAGGCGTCAGCGCCTTCCAGAGATTCGGGGTCCCTCTGCAGATGGGCCTGGGCACAGCGGCCCCATAAGGAGCTGGTGCAGGCTTCATGAATCAGGGCTCTGGTCTCCGACAGGCTCCCTGACTGCAAGGGGCACCGCCTCAGAAAGGTGTCAAACACCGTGTGTCCTTGAGACCTCTCCCTAGACCCAGCCTAAATTTTCACCTTCTATGTCTTTAGATGCACTGTTTAGCTTTGGATTAGGCTTCCTTGATTGGCAAATCCCCGTGTCTAACACTTACTTATTACTTTTTTGGTACAGTGGATGGAACTTGGGGACTCATGCTTGCTCAGCAGCTACTCTACCATTGATCTATGTCTCCAACCAGAAAAGTATTTTCAACAGTTTATTATTATATCAACATTTCCCTCCGATTCATAAGTACATGCAAGTAGAGTTTAGAGGCCATGAAGAGCTACACAACACCCATAACTGGTGAAAAAAAAAGTTGGAAGAGTGGACAGTAGGGGGAAGAAGGAAGGAGATTGAAAGTTATCTGGAGAAATTTAAAATGTTGATTTAAAAGCAGGTTGTCTGTCCTGCCAATGTGGATAAATAACTGGCCTTTCCCCATGCCTTTGCAGTTACGTGGGATGAAAACATCAGTTTTCCACAATTCCCTCGGCTCTACTGCTGTTACTCATGCCCTGGCAGAGTGACCTAGGACACGGCTCCCTTCTCTTCACTGATATTAACTGATCCATCTGGAGTTGCCCATGGGAGGGCAGTCGTAGAGAAGGCACTGATTTTAGTGTGTTGATAATCTTTAACTCCTGTCTATTCTCAGAGTCTAGTTTGCCCTTCTCTAAAAATGTGGGAGACTTTAAATACGTGAAATTCTGGAGCACTGAGCCCTTGAGTTAAAATTATCGATTACAATGACTTTGATAGGGGTAAGTCATGGTCACAAGGCCAGCATCCATTTTAAGATACTTTTATTTTGTTCTCCCATTCTGATCACACTGACATCCAGGGCTGGGGGTCAGCATTACTTGACCATAATGTCCAGGGAGGACAGCGATCTCTTCGCTGAGGAAGAGTCATGCAAAGGATTATCCAGAGGGACACACCCATCCTAAACAAAGGGAAGCAAGCCTGCTTGCTAAGGTATGTAATTACGCTGCCGCTTTCCTAGGGAGAGACCAGGATGGTGTTAATAATGCCACTAGGAGCAGGGGCAGAGGGAGTACCCATTTCAGGGCAACAGTGGCGGCACCTGAGCTGGCTTTTGCGGGGGATGCAGTACATGCTTAAGATGCGGAGATATAAAATTAGTCGGAGATGAATTTATCATTGCGTGATGTTTTATACGAAAGCACCACCTACTGGCAAAGAATTACTTTCCTTTGCTTAATAGATTAGCAAATGTTGGGAATAATATGCCAGAGAATTAGGTGCCTCTGTAATAAGCCTTTCTTTTTCTGCCTTTCTGATCTTACAGAATCCAAACAACCTTAGGACTTAAATCAAGATTCTGCATTGACTGTGTATGATTTTCAACATTCTGTTTCTGCTAGGAGATATTTATTTGGAACATATTTTTCAGTTTACTATATTATAGTTTACTATATTAGTTCCTGTGAGTCTTAATTAAATAATCTCTAAGTCAAGAAGATATTAAGATGGTAGAGGGAAGGAACACATATTCAGAAGGATCTTAATGGTGGGCTATTTTCTCTTTGTTCAAAGTTACTAATGATTCATTTTGATATGAAGGGAAACCATCATTTCTGGAAGCAAGAATTTTCCTGGATTTGGGTAAGATTATTTCACTAAAATTTAATCAAATGTTTCTACTACGGATCACAAAACTCTTTAATAATGAATGTCAATTAAGGTCCTGAAAATAATGTGGCATATCAATAGATACTTTTTCTGACATTTAAAGTGTGTTTTTCCAGTCAGGGTGAAATGGAAGTTTAAAAAAGATTGCTGACCTGGACCAGGACAGGCAGTTAATCTAGATAAATTGAATGAAGTGTTATAATCTAATTATATTTCTTTAATAGTTTTTTTTTTGAAGCTGTATTTCGCCCTTATTTACTTCTGCTCCCAGTGCAACTAGTTTATGTAGGGTTAGCTGCATTTTTTTCTGCCTAAAGGATGGAACAATTATTAGTGATCCTTTCCTATAAATAGAACAGTGGGATTTATCTTTTGGTGGCATTGCATTTGACACTGAAAGCATGTAGAAACTTTCAGAGTGATTCTGGGGGACTAAATTTACGAAAATGGAATGTAAGTTACTTTAGACTCAGCTTCACTGTACTTTACTACAGGATTCAAGATAGAAAACTAGTTTCTGTCATCAAAGAAATATTTTCTGGAAAAGGAAGGGTGGAATTAAAAAAAAAAAAACTTAACTCATACATGCTAAATTCAGCTGCCTGCAAATAGACCTACCCTCCTTGGGAACAAACTATAATCACGGGTGATTGTGGAAGGGTTTCACACGTGTGGATGGATCCTAAAAAGGTAGGTGGGGAGGGAGGCGCTAGACAGACCTGGGTCAGGCCCTCTACTCCAGATGCCTTTGAACTGGGAAACATCTACCCTGCCCCAGACAGTTCAGAAATCAGACACGACTGGAGAGTGCGACTCAGATTTCTTACTGTCTCTGCTAGAAATTAGACTTTTAAGCTATATTTCTCCTAATCATTTACCAGTCATCTCTCCTCCAAGTCACCTCCCTCAGGATATCCTGGATGCCCACATCAACAAAGACAGTGTGTGCAAATGCTCCCAGAAAACAGGCTGACCTTTTGTAAGGTGGCAGTTGAGAAAAACACCTAAAGCTTGAGGGTCATTTTCTCAAATATGACAAATTCCTCTGCCAGTCATGTTTCTTCCTACATAAAACAAATTTACGCTGCTTATCTAACTTTGTTATATTAAATCAGTTACTAGCTAGTTTAAAAACTATAGCTTTGAAGACTTAATGCATGAGAGGACAAAATGGATACTTTTTCTTGAACAAAATACCAAGAGCTCTATAACACTTTTATACATTTGGGAACGGTAGTAACTTGGGGTGTTGGGAATATCAACTTTGGTGGTACTTAAATTTATTCCATTATTTGTTTTGAATACTGTACTACACCTAAAATGAGCCCCAAATACAACTCTGTGAGATTAAATTGACTTGGAAATGTATTGATTCTTTTACTAATTTATACTCTGAGGAATTAAGGTAGAACATACATTTATACTACCATTTGGATTTTTTTTAAAAGGGCAATTTTAGATTTAATTGTGCCAAAGCTATAGAGTCCATTAGAAAGAATCTCCCTCTAAAAGCTACCATATTGGTGGTGTGCCTGTTAAGTGTGTTTTTGTATATGTATGAGTGGGAGCTGGAAGGGAGAGAGAGAGAGAAAGACAGAGACAAAGAGACATGGGGAGGGGAGGGGAGGAAGGGAAGGGAAAAAAAGGGAAGGGAAAGGTAAGGAGAAGGGAGGGGAGGGGCAAGGAGAGGAGAGGAGAGGACTGAGGACTAGCACTGAAAAGCCTCTAGGGGTCAACGAACTGATTTGAGATATAAAGGAATTGACTGGGTGCAATTAAACTCATAAACTAAATTTACAGTCAAATTATGCTGAAAAACATGAGGAGGAACTACACAAACTGCTGCCTCCTGGGCCACGGTCAACTCGGCGCCTCCTTTGCTGGCTGTCACTTTTTCTCATCTCTGGGGGCCTCTATTTGGGCCAAAAGGGAATCAGATACTCCCCATGGAATTGAAGAGCGTTTTAAAACTGTAGCGTTGTTAAAATATAGAAAAAGGTCTGTGCTCACAATCCAAAAGGAAATGATCAGGTTACACACAAAAGAATGCCATATTCAGATATAATGATATGGCTTTTGGTATTGATAATTCTCAAGAGATCTAGTGCTATAACAAAGGAATTTTGCAAGAATGATAGCTATACACTTATTATTGTTATTGGCAAGAAACATCTAAGTAGATTCCCTGCTAAGGCACGGTGGTCCAATGCCATGCACATTTATTTAAAAACCACCTGGATGGGTATTGCGTACTTAGTGATAATTACCTAAAAAGTTACTACAACCGATGCCACCATGGGTCATTAGCATTTAAGAGAAAATTCAATTGTTTAAAAACAGAAACTGTTCCTGATCAATGTTCAAAAATACAGCTCCCACGTGAAGGATTTTTTCAAGAGAGCAGAGGAACGATGCCATGTGAATTTGTTTTATTCTTTGCATGAAAGGCTGGGGTTTCTGATGGCAGTGCTAGGGGTGAGTGGGCTGGATCCCAGCAAACAGTAAAGGAGAGCGGACACATGACCAGGTCACTAATCTACAGCATGTCAGTGTCGCCCAAAAGCCAGACTGAGGGAGGTGAAGTTGTGATACCAGACACTGGCGTTGATTTATTCTCACCTCCTTAGACATACACGTATGGAACGGTTTGGTAGTAAAGCAAAAGTGAGTGAGACAAGTAGAATGCTTCTGAACTACAAAAAACTTATCTTTACTACCTCGAATCCTTCTATTTTTTTGAGGATTAACTGCAGGTTTGAAGTCACTAGTTAAGATCAGGGCTTTTGTTTACATTTTAGCTGTTTTTGCTTGAAAAGAAGTGTGTTAATTTTGAATTGAGGGCTGTTATAAATGTGTGTTTCCTTGACAAATGACACCAGTCATCTTGGTGATAAAGGTGTATCTCGAATCTACCACAAGGGGGCAGAAAGACACATCCTTTGACCAGAAAGCAACTAAATTATTTTTATTATTAATTTAGTAATTAGTATCGCATGTACTAATTAGCATATATTTTAATAAACTATCTACACAAACTGTATTATGGGTATGTTATAAATTCATGAAGCTCATGTATTAATTGAATAGTCTATCTTACGATCTTTAGGGTTCATTCTAACATAAACTACATAGTTTATTGTTAATTTATTCCAACAACGTTAAAGAAGTTAAAGAAGTTAAAGAACCCTAATACCTTCAAAGTTCCCATGTGAACTGTGTGATGACTTAATTAAATAAAAATACTATCCCAGAAGTGGAAATAAACATTGTCTAAAACAATAAAGAAAGAATTTGGCTCATCGGTCCAGGCCTCCCCTTTCTCTTTAAAATATTAAGGGGATGTAATACTTAAGCTACTTGAAAGGGATTGGCCTGAAGATTATCTTTGCATTTCTACAAAGTACCATTTTGCACCTTCTCATGGGACACGAAAGCACACATTTAAAGGCTGTCACTTGTCATTTTAATGACATATCCTAAAATGATACTATAGAAGAAATAATTTTACTTACCCCAACTGGCTGAGGGCAGATGGTGGCATGTTGTGGAGGTGTTGTTGTTGCCAGCCGGTTACTGAGCCAAGGTGAAGCGCGCTGGCCGTGTTAAACCCAGACAGAGATGACAGATCCGCGCTACTCAGAGAGTACTCTGCATCAAACGTGGAACAAGAAGAGAAAAAATCTGATTGGAAAATGAACAAATGGTAAATAAAATCAAACATTTTCAACGCCCACCATGTTCCTGCAATTTTTTGTTTTTAATTTGGGAGGAAAGGACAGTGAACCACTGGGGATATTTGCACTTCAAAAATAAGTATTCCATGCAAGGCTTGAAGTAGAGGAAACTGTAACTCTGGTTGATCACCATGGCTCTTTATAATAGAGCAGTACGCAGCACATTTGACAATCTAGCACTGTGTTTTAAACAAACTTGAGGACGTGAGCTTTCTATGACACCAAAGAAATACAATAACAGCTCAATTTCCTTGAACTCATTCTTCTGTTTTGAAAGCAGTTTGGGCAAATAAAACTTTCACTCTCTTAAGAAGAATGTGGATAAGCACTTTGTCATAGTAAGTCAGGAGGAATGACACAGTGCTCGGGGCACCGCAGGCACTGGATAGGGCTTCCAAGGAGGGTGGAGATGAAAATGCTCTTCATGTGCGTTTTACTAAAAGGTATTTAATATTTACACGTGGCCAAACTACTCACCGGTACCATATGTTGTTGAAATGGCTGATGGATAGCCTCCCATTCCTTGTCCTGGTAAAGTAGGGGTTGCTACGGAAACCACTGGGGTGGCCAATGACTGAGCAGACTGGGAGTTATTTATCCTTTGATTCTTTTAAAGTAAAAAAAGACAGCATTGATGGAATTTTTTTAAAGAAAGTTAAAATGCTAGATTTCAGAATTAGTTTTGCACATAAAGAGATAACTTGGTACAAAGCTCATGAAATTAATCATTTAACATGTGTCTCTATGAACTCTGCCAACCCTATCATTTACAATCCTTCAAGAGACCAGCTGTTGCCATAGTAACCCATTACATCAGTATCTCCTAGGCAACTGAACTAGTAACAAGTACCATAGCTTTATTATGGATAAAAACAGACTATGCTGAGAACTGATGAAATATGTATACTGTACTCTCATTGTTTCAGTTTTTATTCAAATGCAAATTAAAAAAATTAAAATCAACCACGGTGGGTTTTGTATTCAGTTCTATGTACACCAGAACAGACGGTGAGGGTCATATTCTATTCTGACCAGCAGGTGGTGCTCTGACCACTTTTTTTTTTTTTTTCCAAATTCTTCTAAATTTGACTCAACTAGAGAGCAAAGCCTGTAAGGCCTGTATTTAACTCTTTAAAGCAAGGAGATTAAAGACACAAATCCCCTTAAAACAATGGCACTGTAACTCCTAGAGTAAGAAGTACTTTAGTTTTAAGTGACACAATAAATACTTTCCCATCAATTACGTCTTAAAAAGTTGAAAACAAGGCCTCCAGTTTCCAGAGGTTGCTGAGACAGAAAACAACAAGCAGACATTCTTTCCCCTGTGACTGATACTAGACTTTAACTGTGGGCACACTATGGTTAAGTTTCAGTCTCTTGATTTTATCAGAGCTCCACCTGCCGTTAAAGGCAGCTCTGGCTATGTGCTTGCCACTGAAAGGATGTGGTCCCATACTTACCAAAAGCAGGTCGACATCCTCCGACTGAGAGCATGGGGGAGGAGTTTATTGATTAGTGTCTGTAAATATTTATCATTGGGCAAAATCTTTTCAATCAAAGGAAATGCGTTTTCTGACAGGCACAACAATTTAAACAGTTTCAAAACCCAGACTCTAAAGACAACTCTGTAAAGGCATTCTTTGTGTCCCTTAATGAGGTGTTTATCTCAAAAATGAAGACAACCTGTCTGGCTTTCAGCGCTGGTCAGGGTCTCGACAGTCAGAATTTCACCAGCACATTTTGCACAGAAAGACTACTTCGAAAGCTCATTTGCTGAAGAAGGAGTCACACCTGGATGCCAGAGAGAGGCTTCTCTGTCCACTCTGCTCTTAGTGTCCCTGGGCAACCACTGGTTTTAAGGGACCCGGAATAAATCTGCTGATAGAGACGGTCTGCCACACACAGTCCTCGCCGCAGGGCTGCAGCCCCGTGGGAGGCTTTATTTATTAGACCCAGTCTCTTCCAAAGGGAATGGTGCATGTTATGTGATTTTTTGGGGGAAGAGATTGACATTCAAAATTAATCTGCACTGTGCCATAATAAACTAGTCAGTTTGCAGGACTGTTCTACCCCCATGCTTTCCAGAAAGCAGAGAAAGGAAGGAAAAAGGAGGCAAGAAAAAGGAATGTGTGTGCAGAGTGATCTAAATTTGTCTGTGGAATCTTGGCTGTCAGTGTTCTCACTCCTGAAGCACAGCTTCTTCAGAGACCAGTGATGAAGTCTGTGTGTTGGGCAGTTTGGTTCCACAATCCTCCTCTTAGCGTAGGACCCACGAGAAAGAAAGTGATATGCTCTGGAAATATTTTGTATATATTTAAATTCATATTTCCTGTCTATTTATTCTCCTTTGGACAGTCAAAAACTCCTTTTGACGTAAAATGCAACCTCCTTTTCCCCCCTTGAAACGTCTGTGATTCTAACACAGTCTGCTTTTGTGAATTAGCTATTTTCATGCAGTACACATATGGAAAAACAAAACCAAGGCAGTGCAGAGGTATGTGATGTTCTTCCATATAACACTGAAATACACTGAAGAAATGAGCTTCCAATTAACAGGAGAAAGTTTACTCAGGAAATACATAAAGTATTTCTCCTTGGCATACCCTGACAACATAAACAGCTCAATACAGTAAAAACACCACGCTATGTAGTACTTCGTTATCTATTACCCATGATTTTGACCAGTGGTAGAATCTGATTTTTTTTCTGACTATAAATCGGGAGCTCTAAAAGGAAATGTTTTCCTTGTTCCAGAACAACAGTTCTAAGATTTTTTTTTTTTTTTTAATTTGGAAAAGGAAAATGAAAAGCAGTTACCAGAATTAACAGCTACAACCAGGCTTCATCCATAGTATTAATAACACTACTAGTTGATAATGTTAATTTTCTTGGAGATCCCTAAAGTGATTTATAAAGCCAGAGAAATACTAAAATAGCAAAATGTGCACGAAACATTATTGACATTTATGGAAAATGTAGTTTTGCATTTACCACGGATGGCATCGCGTTTTTGCTGCCGGGTGGGATGAGAACTCGGAGATCTGGTTTACGGTTATTCATTCCTAAATTCATAGGGGGAGGAGATTTTGCTTGCATATTCTTGTTCAAGTTACCAGGTGAGACCAGCAGACCTGGTGAGTTTCTGGGATTGCCATACCCGTTCCCTGTGAACACAAAACAGTGACCGTCCTTAGGAAGAAATCTGGATACAAGGCATCTTTTAAGGAATACAATCCATGAGGAAAGAAAAAAAAAAAAAGCCTACGGATTCGAGTCCACACACATTAAAAAATCACATGACAGCCGATTTACCCTCCAGGGGAAGAGTAACCCAGTTAATTACTTCATACTCTTCTGCAAAGATAAAAAAACTTTTAAGAGAAGCAATATACCCCAGCATGCTCCCAAACCATCATATACTCTTCCTATTTAAAATAATTTCAAGAAGCAAGTCAGGTCATTTTTCAGGATCTAAGGAAGCACAGACTCGAAGTTGCACTTTAACTGGTGAGTTTGGCCTGGGCCTGGCTGGCATGAATCACTCTTTCAGTTCGCTGGTTTGGGGCTTGTTTTGTGCGCCCATGTATCATTAGAGGAAGGGACGGCACACCAGCAAAGCTGTCATGTCCAGGGCACGCAGGAGTGGGGCAGGACGCATGCACTTTTGCTGTTAGTCCCCTTTTACTCAGAGTGAATTTTCCCGATGGCTTTTCTGGGGTCTGCTTTGCCCTCCTTGCTAATTTCAGGGTATAACCCTAAGCCTGCAGGAACTTCCTGCTCCCACGGATCTGCAAAAAGCACCCCCACCCCCGCCCCAGGAGCTGCAGTGAAGCCTCCGTGAAAGTGCTGATTCACCCCACACAGGAAGAGCCGCCACATGGCAAGGTCCGGAGGGCTTTCTTCAGACTCTCACAGTCTGCCCTACCAACAGAAAAACTGGGGTCTGAAGGTGTGCATCTCTGACATTCCAACATATCCTGCTCCACGGCAGGGAGAGCCGTGGAGTCCGGCTAGAAGCACAGGCTGAGGGGGGAATGACGGTAGACTCACAAAGTCACCCCTGGCCTCTGGCGCAGCCTCGCCCCAGGATGAGAATTCCACTCCCACCCCATTCGACAGTGCTTGCTGGAAAACCGCTGGGCTGTTTGCTGAGACTCTAAAGGAGACAGTTATACCCTCATGATTCCTGTTAGCATTATTCTCATCACAAAACACAGTATCCACTGCCCCAGTGGGTGACACTGTGCTACATTCACGGGTTTGAGGTTCAGTGTGGCACCCCAGTACATTCCCAGGGAGCACCCAGGAAGGACAGCAGACAGCTCGGGTGATGGCCCACACAGCCATCCACCCTAGGTGTTGCTCAGTTCCCAGGAGAGAAGAGATTAGCCAATAAACCTTCATGGAAGAGGAAGCAGCCGAGGTGGGCCTGGCGGAAGAGACCAGACACACCAGCAGGAAATGCTGAACTTGTGGGTGGTGGGTGGGAATGGGCTCAGGGAGATGTGGAGTCAGGAACAGAGTGCAAGAAACTAGGAAGAGAGGGTTCTGAGGGAACTTGGAAGCTGGGCTTCGGGGATGACTTCCAGGCTAAGGTGTTTGTATTTATGCGGTAGACATGCAGACCCAGCAAGAGCTCAGGACCCAGGTGGCCAAGGTAGTGCCCAGGTGTACAAGGGATGAAAGATCTATTAGCACTGAGATATCCTGGGAAGCAGGGGAACAGGGGGTGTGGATCAGTGTGGGGACCCCTGAAGTGGCCTGGGATAGAAACGCCAGTATATTTCAAGGGAAATTTATGGGAACATGTTTTTGAATTAAAATGTAGTTAAGACACAGTGCATAAAGCACCTTCACTCTTCATGTCTAATTCGTTTACCTGTTTCATTTTATGCGTGAATAAACAGGCTGAATATATAAAGAATAACAAAATTAAATCTGTCAGTTGGACTAGGCGTAAAATTTTCCAAGTTACCAGGAGAAAAACAAACGCAAAACAAACTAAATATCCCCAAAGCATGTCGCGCACACAGTAGTTGTTTAAGAAATGGTCACTGAATTTGAATACAAATTACTGTTCTGTAATAAGGAAAATTAACTAAGTTCAGTAAAACCAGCTGTATGTGTCAAAAGGCAAATCCTCTGTTACGACTAATTTGGACAGTGCTGGGTGGCAAAAGCCATTATGTGAAACTACACTTTTACCTTTTTTTTTTCACCAGAAATAGAAACAAAGAATATGTTCACTAAGAGAAATTCGGATAAACTCACATGCTCAGAGCTTTTTGTTTAACACGTATCTTACTGAATGATTCTTGTGACTGTGTTAGGGTCTGAGTTTAAATGCAGATAGTCCTGGAGAAAAGGGAAGAGGAAGACAGATGAAATCTGCCCTCCACTTTCCTATCAGTTCAGAGTGTCAGAGTGCATCCACGTGTCAGTTCCATCCTAACTTGTGTGAGACCTGGCTTAAATAAACAATCAAATGGAAAATTAGCTACGTCATTTCAAAAGAAGAAGAAAAAAAGTCAGTTACGCAGTGCAGTGAAGCTTGAATCGATCAGAAAAAAACTAAAACCCCGGCTCAGGAGATGCTGGTTTTGCACGGAGCAGTTATTTTGCTAAAAGGAAGTAAAACCTCCTCATGAAATGTGTTGTCCTGTGATAGGGCCATGGTGTGAAAATGGAAATGCTTCACAGAGCTGCTGAAAAAAGTTATTTAAAAGAAAAAATTTTTTTCTGCAGTAAACTCAGAAATTCCAGTGAAGCTCCAGTCTTTTGCCCTCATTTTAAACAATGATTTGGGACGGAACGGACAGAAGAAAGGAAAGCACGCATTACAGTTCTTCATCCAAAGGACACCTCAGAACCAAAACAAAAAAGGATGTAAAAAGCATTCTACTTTTCTCTTTGAATATTTCCCATAAGCTGGAAATCATGCCCTCTCAGGAGATTAGTCACATACTTTAAGGTGTTTACATATCTAACATAAAATGTTTGGAACCAATGATGACACTTCTTACACTCGTATTTTTAGAGTATAAAGTTATTTTTAAGAACAAATAAATTCTGCTTTTTTTTAAAGGCTGAATTTCTGCTGTTTTTAGCAGTTTGTGCCAGCTAGCATTTTGGAGCCGTATAATAACCATTTCTGTTTCCAGCCACCAAATTGTTATTCTTTTGGCGTAATATAGATTCAGGAATGCGAGACAGTGGATCCTAAACCAGTGATACAGAAACCTATCATTTGGAAATCAATGATGAATACATGCGTGTGGTTTACTGCTAAGAAGAGCCTGCATTTAAGCCGGCTGGGCAACCACAGCCTCCGCCTCCCGCCCAGTGCTGCGGCCTCCAAGAGGCTGCTGTCCACCGTAAGATAAATTCACCGGAGACAATGGTCTCATTTAAATTCAGGGCCCGGGAGGTGGCAAACAGCACCTCTCAACCACCTTCTAGTATACAGCTGCCACCCTTCTTCGTGCCTGTTTTTAAAGGACCCTCTGCCTGGACAATTACCGATTTGGACGTGACTGTATACAAATATCACATTCCTCTGACCACTTAAAAGCACAAAAATTATAAAGCATGAGTGAATGTATTTCCTGATTACAGATTACGAAAAAAATGAGGTACAGACCAACTTTATAGTCCCGGGAAGCTTTTACAGTTTCATTTGATTAATAATGTTTCACATAAAAGAAAACGTAAGCATTCACAATATAACATACACAGGATAGCAGAATCCATCTCTACTCATTGCAAGTTTGTAAACATTAAAATTAGTATAAATATGAGGGACTTGAAATATAGTGTTAGGAGAAAAAAATTTCTCCCTCAGTTAACTCGCAAACACTAGCTTTCTTCTTCTTTTTTTATTGACTCCTATTTTAAGAAGTTGTAAATTGAAAGAACATATTTCTGGTTGCATATATTATGAAGAAGAGCTCGCCTGAGCATGTAGCTTTCTTTGAGCTCACAATTCTGAAACTTTCTTTTATTTGGGTGCTTAGGAATTATGGGTCTCTTCCTTGCTTTATCCCCCCCCCCCAAGATCTTCAGTTATAAACATGAGTACATAAAACTAACAAACACAACTGAAAGTCGTCCTTATGGATCACAGCTGATCCTTTCCTTGGGACACTCTTCCCTTTCATCGCCCCAGTTGCTAACTTTGACCATATCTTCCCCTTTCCTCATCTCCAAATTCAGTGAGATATTGAATCTTACTCATTTTTTTTTCTTCAAAAATGCATGCTTTCCTCTGCACTGGCCTCATTCTTATTTAGATTTTCATCACCACATGGTCTTCCAGAAGCTGCCCACTTTGCCTTCTGGTTTTGAGGCAAAGGAGTCTTCATCAAAAGGCTATAGGTAAACATTTTTGCATATGTGGAGCATTAGCCAACTCCCCCAGGGACACCTTTCTGAACTGCCACTTCCAGTGTGTTCCTTGCTGACTCTGAGCTGTCTGGTTCTCCAGGTCCTGTCAAGTTGACCAATTCTACTGATCTAATCTGATTTCTAGTGGCTGCAGCCAGGCTTACCACCCTCTGAGCATGCCCAGATCTTTGCTTTAGTGGTTCCATCATTAGGAACCTTCCTCTTGAATTCAAACCCATCTTTTAAGTATCAGCTACCATCCCAACTCTTTCATGATGACTTTCAGACAACTCCAGCCCACACTGAACTAACTCACTCTTCCCCAAGTCATGCTGCAGGTAAAGGCAGTGATACTGCACAAACTGGCAGCCCTTTGAATCTTTCCCATGCTTAAGGCATGTATTCAGGATGTACTAGTAACATGAGGGGTTACTCAGCAATGGTACTAAAAGTTACGTTACTGAGGGAACATGAGAAGAGAATTGAAATTGTAATGTGTAAGTTGGTAAATTCAAAAGTTGAGGGTCTCTTCTCTTTAGACCACCTGTGAATTTTTTTTCTGTTTTAGATGAGGAATGCTTATCGGTCAAGCATACTATTGACACATACTGCTTACCAACCACACGGAAGTCTGGAGTCAGGTACTAAATTTGCTCTCAGAGTTAACTGAACCTGTCACACCTGCCAATCATGTCACGATGCACAACCTGCAAGTGGATGCACCCACTAAGGTAGAAATTTTCCCTAAAGAAAGGAAAATTTTAAGAAGACATTCATCTCT